TTTTCTGTGAGCAAGAATGTGATTTTTTTTTTTTTTTGTAATTTATGTAAATAAAGTCGTTTTGGTGGTTTTTTTTTTTACAAAACGGACTGTTCCGGAGCTCAGGTCCGGTCAAACCTGAGGGAAGGGGACAGACCCTCGCAGAGGGCAGAGCCACATCACAACACGGGGGCCAGCAAGGCTGTGTGACACCCCCTACTCACATCCTGCCAGCCCCAGGGGGGTGGCTGCACCAAGGATGCATCAAGGTGCAGCTCCAGGGACAGAATGACCTGCTTCACGATCCGGGGGCTAGGAGCTGCCAGGAGATTCAGGGCCAGAGGTCGTGGCTCTCTGTTTAAGGGGAATGATGCAGATGCTGTTTTTGGCTTCTTTGATTCTCCACCACCGTCCAAGCCTGCGGATGAGAGAGATGAGGGTCACACTCCAGCAAGCACCAGAGGAAAGGGGGCTGCACCCCCAGGCAGTGCCAGGGAGGAGGGTCAGTACCGGTGCTCCTGCCCGATGCCAGCCACCAGGAAATCACCAGATGACGAGAACTTGAGGCTGTTGACAAAACCCACCTGGAGGGGACAGGGCAGGGTGAAGGGAGAGGGCAGGTTAAGGGGATCCCATAGCCTCCTCCTGCTGTCCAGGGAGGGGAGCCCCTGCAGTGAGACCCTCCAGCCCAGCTCCAGCATTCCCAACCTGCCCATCAATCCATACCAAGGGGATGTCCCAGAGGTGCTCCAGCTTCCGAAATCCCTCACCACACTTCCAGAGCTTCACGCTGGCACTGTGGGATCCTGGGACAGAGAAAGGAGATTGCCATGCACCCCAACCCAGGGATGGGAGGAGGACCTCCCCCACACCCTCAAAGTGGCTGCCACACACCTGTAGCCAGGAGGTCACTGTTGCGCAGGGCGGCCACCGCTGAGATCCAGTAGGGCTGTTCCAGGCCCTGGGCATCCTGCATGCCGTGTGCCTGCCGAGCCAGCGCCAGAGGTTTCTTCTTTGTCAGCCCCCAGAGGGCTAAAGACCTGACGGGGACGTGAGGGGTGAGGGGGCTGAGGGGGCACCCTGCTCACCCCTGGCACTGCCCCAGCCCCGTGCTCACCCGTCATCGGCGCCGGACACCATGTGCTCCTCATTGATGAGCTGAATACAGTCGATGGAGCCCCTGTGAAGAGAAGGGGTAATTGTCAGCAGTTACAAGTGTGCTTTGAGATCCTGTTCAGGAGATGTGGGCTCGCCAGGGTATCAGCATCCCCACGGTGCTCCCCAAGATGCTTGGCAGCCACACACCACTGCCCCAGCTGGGTATGCCTGCCCACAGCCTCCTCTCCCACCCCAGACCTACTGGTGCCCAGAAAACACGAGCTGTGTCTCCTCAGGGATCTTCCAGAGCCGCACGGTGCCATCCCGTCCCCCTGCCGTCACACAGCACTCCCGGCTCAGGCTGTCCAGCCCCGTGATGACATCCTGGTGCCCGAATCTGGAGGAGATGGCAAAGAGACATGGCAAGCATGGCCCTCTGCCCCCTCACCTTGCCTCCCCCAGGGATGCTGGCACACCCTTTGGCAGGGTCAGTGGGATCCCCCCCGGCCTTACAGGGTCTCCACATAGGCGTTCTCTGCCACGTTCCAGACTTTGACGCAGCGGTCATGGGAAGCGCTGTACAGCTGGTGTGTCCCCTTGCGGAAGGACAGGCCCTGCAGACAGATGGATGGACAGGGCACAGCAGTGAGGGAGGGGCACCAGGGAGGATGGGGCTGCCCAGCCCCACAGGCACCACGCCTGATGCCCCTGACTCACCGAGACAGCGTCACGGTGCCCTGTGAAGATGTGCAGGCGCTTGCAGGTGGCTGTGTCCCAGATCATGATCAACTTGTTCCTGTCTCCTGTGGCCTGGCAGACAGCAGGGGATGCCCAAGACCTGCCTCTCAGAGACCCACAGCCTACCCCAGCCTCCACTCCCATGCCAGCCTCCATTCCCACCCCATATGCTTTCGGGTGATCCCGGGGACCCATCCTTAAATCTGTAGCGGATAGGGGCTGCTTTAACTGGGCAAGGCACATCTGGCCACGAGACACAACCCCCAGGACCCTGGGAGGAGATGCAGTCCCCATGGCCACCTCTCTGTCCCCTGTCCCCGTACCAGATACTTGCCATCCGATGAGATGGCCATGCAGAGGATGTGGGATGCGTGTCCCATGTGCCGCTCCTCCGTGCCCTTCTTTCCCCCGGGCACCACACACAGCCTCTTCCCGCTGTCCACCTCCCCTGTGGGAAAGGTATGGCCACCATCACCCTCTGGGAGCCTCCCACCACTCCCAAAAGTGCTAATGAGCCTCCCACGAAGCCCAGAACCATTCCCAAAAGTGCCAACGAGCCTCCTACAGATCCCAAAACAATGCACATTCCCGGAGCAGCCAAGGGCTAAGTCACCACCACAAGCACCCACAGCCCTGATGCTGCAGGGTCCCCTGCAGAACAGCCAGTTGCAGCCTCAGGTGAATACTTGCATTTGATGAGGGAGCCGTCCTTGGATGCAGAAAAGATGAACTTGTCATCGGGAGAGATGACCAGGCAGGTGACAGGCAGCTGGTGTCCTCGCAGCACACGGATGCTGGCTGGATCCGGAGGCTGCACCTGCAGGGAGAGTGGGATGTGAGCTGGGCTGCCCCGGCCCCTTCCCCAGGCTTGGGAGTACCCCAGCATGGCACCGTGGGCAGGAGAAGGGCCGTGGGTGCTGGCCATGCCCGAGTGTCCCCCAAAGCTAGTACTTATGGTCTGGCACCGGGCACTTACATCTTTGGCGACCAGGCGCTGCAGCCGGCCCTTCTGCTCGAGCTGGGGGAGAAGTGGGAGGCTCAGCGGAGGCGGCCCCAGCCCCGGTCCCGCGGGAGGGGCACAGAGCCCACCACCGGGACCGCGGGGCCGCGCCCGCCCCCCCGCTCACCACGTCCTCCTTCAGTCGGTCGCCGATGAGATCCGCCGGCTGGGTTTCCTCCTCCTCCTCCTCCGCCCGTTCCTCCTCTGCGGCGGGACAGTGCGTGAGAGCCGGGCCCAGCGCCCGGGCCGCCCCGCCGGGGCACCGGGGCCAGGCGGGACTCACCGAGCTGGCGGAGCTCCTCCAGGTACTGCTTTGCCAGGCGCAGCTTCTTCTCCTGCGGCGTCTCCTCCACCTCCTCCTCCGCCGCCGCCGCCTCTCGCCGCCGCCGCCCCAACGACAGGCTGCGGGGACACGTGTGCGTGAGCACCCCCCGGCACCGACACCCTCCCGGTACCAGCACCCACTCCAGTACCGGCACCTCCCTGGCGCAACCCTTACCTCTCCGTCTCGGAGTCGCTGGACACCTCCTCGTCGGGGGGCCGGCCGGCCGCCGCCCGCGGTCTCCCCTGGGCGTTCGGGACCTGCGGGACCGGGCGGATCAACACGGGAACGGGCGCGGCGAAACGCGCGACATCGGCCACCCTGCCGGGACAGCCCCTCCTCGCCCCCTCCCTCCCTCCTTCCCGGTGCCGGCCCTCACCGCCGGGCGCGGCCGCCGCCGTCCCGCGGCCCCGCGCGGGGCCTTGGCCCTCCTGCCGCTCGCCGCCGCCGCCGCCATGCTGCCGGGACACGTGGGGCCGCCTGCCGCCCGCCGGCACCGGGCCCCGCCCCCGGCAGCGCCCATTGGCTGCAGGCGGCCGGGCCCCGCCTTCCATTGGCCCTCCTTGTCTCGGAATCGCCTTCCCGCCCCGCCCCCCCGCCCGGGTGGAGGCGGCTCTGTCACTCAGCGGTGAGGCCCCGCCCCCTCTGAGATAGGCCACGCCTCTCAGCTCTTAGCCCCGCCCATGCCGAGATAAACCCCGCCGCGCGTGTCGGGGACCCGCACCCCGAGCCCGGTTGTCACACCCCCAGCCCTCCCTCCTCTGCCCCCCATGGCTCCTCGGGCCCTGCCCCGCAGCCCCCGTCGCAGCTGGTGGCCCCCAGACGCAGAGTCGCGATGGCGGTGACAGGGAATGGGTGGCTGCTTCCCAAATCATGGTCACCTTTTGCCTCTCAGGGACCCTCAGCCAGGGGGGCACGGCCTCTGGTCCCGTCCCATGTTCTTCAGGGGGTCTCAGGGACCCGTCCTTGGCTGTGCCGGGGTAGTGCCTCTCTGTCCGGGACAGGTGATGCTCTAAAGAGCTAAAATCTGTTTTGGGGCATAAACTTTATTTTACACAATCAGCTTCTTTTCTCCTTGGCACTAGTGGAGGCAGGGAAGGACAGCGGGAATGTCCTGCACTGGTCTCTGTAAGGCGACAGGCTTAGGAAGGGAGCAGCTGTCCAGCTGCTCTCTGGAGGATTCTGGCTGAGGTCTCTTCTCTCCTGTCAGATTTCGGGAAGAGCAGATCTCCCA